ACACAAGGAAACTGATCATGGTGAACACAAGGAAACTGATCATAGTGAACACAAGGAAACTGATCATGGTGAACACAAGGAAACTGATCATGGTGAACACAAGGAAACTGATCATGGTGAACACAAGGAAACTAATCATGGTGAACACAAGGAAACTGATCATGATGAACACAAGGAAACTGATCATGGTGAACACAAGGAAACTGATCATGGTGAACAGAAAGAAACTGATCATGGTGAACACAAGGAAACTGATCATGGTGAACAGAAGGAAAATTTTCATGGTGAACATTAGGAAACTGATCATGGTAAACGTAAGGAGATGATCATGGTGAACACAAGGAAACTGATCATGGTGAACACAAGGAAACTGATCGTCCTTACCAGCACAGGACTGCCGATTAAATTTGGCTGATGTAGCCATTACAGGTGCCCTAATTATAACCTTTTTAGAGGTTAAACAGGGTATCAGGGATTTGCCTTGTAGGTCTGCCATCCAGACAGAGATTGTTTCATCCCAGGATGGTACGGTCAACTATTAGGTAGCAGACCAGAGGGGACAAACAGACTGAGGAATCAACTGATCACAAGGAAACAAAGGAAACTTGATAGAGAAGAAGAAAATATTAAAACTAAACATAAAAATAAGAGATACACAAATAAAGGCTAAATAAATAAATTAAAATAAATAGATAGTTAAAAATCAACAGTGCAGAATATATATAAATCAACTTATCCTACTTAAAGAAAATATATATTTATAAACAAATAAATCAATGACACGACAGGCACACAAATGTAAATAAACAGAGGGATGTCTAAAACAAAAATAAATAAGATATAAAGATTAAGAGATGGAATGAACTGAATGGAATATGAAATAAATAATGAAGAAAACAGCAGCACTAACAGAAAAAAATAAACTTAGAAGGTCCATGTATACACGACTAGTGGGCACCTCCTAGTTTTAAAGGTCTGCCAGGGACTCCATATATTTTAAGAGTCACACTGCTGAAACTGTTATTTACTGCCTTTGGTAAACCACTTTGTGCAGTGTAGGCAGGGGAGGGAGGGGGGGAGGGGGTGGTCTTGAGCCTGAGGATGTACGACCGCATGGCTAGTGCTGTCACCACGGCTGTGCAGGTGAGGATTTTACTCTGCCTCAGACCAAAAAAAAAAAAAAATCCCCTGCCTTACCAAGGATTCAAACCTGGGTCTCCCGGGTGAGAGCCCAGCGTTCTAACCGTTCGGCCAGCCGCTACTCATAGTCATACTAAAGAACTCACAATTTATAAACATTAGTCGCAAAAGGGGGGAGGGTTGCATTCTAAAGGTGCGGTTTTTGTTTTGAAGAGATAGAAATAGTACTCTTTGGTCATGAGTAAAAAAAAAAAAAAAAAGATACACAAGAAACTGCAACAGCAGACAAAGAGAAATTATGTTGAAGAGACTATGATGATAACTTGGAAGAAAATTAACAGCTCTGATCGTGAGCAACAAGCACTGAGATCTGGGGAGAGTCTTCAACAACACATATGCTGTTTGGCAAGACACATGATGATGATGATGATAATACTCTAGAACCCTTAAGTTGCAAAACAATATAAACTATGTACATACATGCCACAATACAATGCCATCATGGTTTTTCCATGATATACAAACAACTGAATGTGTGCTCTTTTGTGCAGGAAATGTTTTAAGCACTGGTATCTGTTTACCTGGACACTTACTGAGCAAGCTGGACAGCGCATAAATGCCTTTAAACACAATTGTTATAGAAAGGTTCTAAGAATATCATGAGTAAAGAAAAGAACAAATGAAATATTTTAGTCACTTGAAACGTAACAAAAGTTTGGAGAGAACAATAATCGAGGGGTATATGCCTCGGAAGAGAGGAAGAGGAAGGCCAAAGAGAAGATGGGTGCAGGATGTGGCAGATGATCTCCAGATGGGTGTATCAGACGCGGGACATCTTCCTTGTGACTGAAAAGAGTTTTCAAAGGGTTGTTTATGGGTGCAAGGTTCTGCAAAGGACATGCTACTGACTGACTGATCTGTATAGAGCCATCTTCTGCAACAGTATAATCTCCCTCATTATGTAACATTCATCATGTATCCTCATAGTCTGTAACAATGACTAATATTCTATTCCTTAAATATTCTGAAATAATGATCATCCCAGGTAACTTTAACGGATAAATCTGCTATACCCCTGCCCTGTTCAGCAGTAATGATAACCATATTATCCCAGACATTCAGTAACAAAGATCAATGTGCCTTGACCCAAATAATAATAATAATAATAATAAAGTTATTCCAAGAGTTCTGTGATAAATGTGCTAGCTCCAATATTCAGAAATAAGTAATATCCTGCCATCCCAAGTATTCAATAACAATGATAACTCCTATATTCATAAACAATAAACGAGCACATTATCCCAGGTATCATGTAACAATAACGAATGTGGCATATCCCACATTACGAAAAAATGAATATCCTGTCATTCCAGGTACCCTGTAACAATGATAAATGCACTATAATCTCATTTTCCAAAGTACTCACTATCCTGCTACAGTCAGGTAGTCTGTAAAATTGAGAACCTGCTATCCTCATATTCTGTAACAATGATACATGTGCTATACCCCATATTCTGTAACAATGATACATGTGCTATACCCCATATTATGTGACAATGATACATATGCTATACCCCATATTATGTGAGGAAGATACATGTGCTATTCCTCATATTCTGTGACAATGATACATGTACTATACCCCATATTCTGTAACAATGATACATGTGCTATACCCCATATTCTGTAACAATGATTCATGTGCTATAACCCATATTCTGTATCAATTATACATGTGCTATACCACATATTATGTTACAATGATACATGTGCTATACCCCATATTCTGTGATGATGACGCATGTGCTATTCCTCATATTCTGTGACAATGATACATGTGCTATACCCCATATTCTGTAACAATGATACATGTGCTATACCCCATATTCTGTAATTAATGATACATGTGCTATTCCTCACATTATCTAACAATGATACATGTGCTTTACCCCATATTATGTGACAATGATAATACTGAAACGTCACACCCTGTAGTAATGCAGTAACAATGACAATCTCCCTACATGCATACTCTACACCAGCCATCAATCTTTTTAATCTTTTAAAAATTATCTTTATAATCCCACACTGTATAACAAGGACAGCGAGGAAGAGGCAGGCCCAGAGGCACCTGGAGGTGAACTTTTGAGGGTGAACTAAAGGCTGCGCGAAGGACAAAACTGGAGATGGGTAGGATGGCTCAGGATTGAACTGAATAGTGACAGTTTGTCTCTGCCTCATGTGCCTCTGGGCGCGATGAGGATTGATTGCTAATTGTAGAACATAAACAATCACCATATATCCATGCTCTGTAACAATTACACTAATGCATTAATGACAAAATCTTATCTCCCTCATGCTCTGTAACAATTATACTTTTGCATTAACGACAAAATATTATCTCTATCATGCTCTGTAACAATTACACTAATGCATTATTGACAAAATCTTATCTCCCTAATTCTCTGTGACAATTATACTAATGCATTAATGACAAAATCTTATCTCCCTCATGCTCTGTAACAATTACACTAATGCAATAATGACAAAATCTTATCTCCATAATTCTCTGTAACAATTATACTAATGCATTAATGACAAAATCTAATCTCCCTCATGCTCTGTAACAATTATACTAATGCATTAATGACAAAATCTAATCTCCCTCATGCTCTGTAACAATTATACTAATGCATTAATGACAAAATCTAATCTCCCTCATACTCTGTAACAATTATACTAATGCATTAATGACAAAATCTAATCTTCCTCATGCTCTGTAACAATTATACTAATGCATTAATGACAAAATCTAATCTCCCTAATGCTCTGTAACAATTACACTAATGCATTAATAACAAAATCTTATCTCCCTAATGCTTTGTAACAATTACACTAATGCATTAATAACAAAATCTTATCTCCCTCATGCTCTGTAACAATTACACTAATGCATTAATAAAAAATCTTTTCTCCCTCATGCTCTGTAACAATTATACTTATGCATTAATAACAAAATCCTATCTCCATAATTCCTTTAAGAATTATACTAATGCATTAATGACAAAATCTTATCTCTCTCATGCTCTGTAACAATTATACTAATGTATTCATGACAAAATCTTATCTCTCTCATGCTCTGTAACAATTATACTAATGCATTAATGACAAAGTATTATCTTCATCATGCTCTGTAACAATAACACTAATGCATTAATGACAAAATCTTATCTTCATAATTCTCTGTAACATTTTAACTAGTGTCTCAATGAAAATATCTTATCTCCCCCATTCTCTCTAACAAGTATACTAATATATTATTGCCTTATGTAACAATAAAACAAAAATTCTGATATTCCCTGTAATGATGATTACACTGCACTATCAGTTTATGTAACAGTAATATAATCACATATAACCCTCATGCTCTGCTGTATCGATAATAATGCACCAATATTTTATGTCACCAAAAATGAGATACTGCCCCTTTACAATAACTCTTTGAGTCCCAAGGAACGCATCATACGTTCATAGGTTCCCGCCTAGAGGCCCAATGAATGCAAGATGCACCGATTTTACATCTCTTTTGACTACCCCTTGGGCCTCTGATGCTAAACCCCCTGGGACTCAAAGAGTTAAGCAACTGGTTCGGTAACTGTGAGACATGCATGCCCGCTCTAACTCGTTTCCTCTAACACTACAAGGTGCCACGAGCCTCCCACATCACACAGCCACACACAACCAGGCTGCAAGGTGCCCTGACAACATGAAGACACGTAGCAATCAACATACTAGGTGTAACAAATGAGTGGCACAAAATCTGCAAACTACGAGAAAAGGAAAATGTAAGATTTGGGTACCCTTCCGGACTTTGTTGGCGTATGACTCACTCCTTCCAAACGTCGATCCTAAGAAGAGGAGGAGGAGGAAGAAGAAGATATAAAGTCCTGATTAAAGTTCAGTGGGGATCATAATGATTTTGTGTTCGTATGGTTGTATGAGTTTCTGGTGATGGACATAGCGATGAAACTATATTATGAACATACAGTATGCTATAAACATACAGTATACTATGAACATAAAGTTTGCTATAAACACACAGTATACCAGGCACACCACAGAATAGGACAATCCATACAGCGGAACTGGTGGCAAAAATATTTTATTTTGGTTATATAAACCACATGCCTTCATGGCAGGAATAAGGTTCCTGACACAGCTAAATGGCTTCTTTTCTCTGTGTTATGCTCCTTTCTTTCTTTCTTTCTTTCTTTAAAGAAAACGAAAATAATATACAAAAAGATACCTTCTCTTCCCCCCCCCCCCCCCCCCCCCCCCAACTCATAACAGCATGACCTGATGTATATGTGCGTGTGAGCATATGGAAATGTGTATTTTGAGTATATTGATCTGTGAATGAGCGCACATATTTTTCCCTATCACTTCCCACTCTCAGTTCCCCAGTACTTATCCTCACTTCCCACTCTCAGTTCCCCAGTACTTCTCATCATCACTTCCCACTCTCAGTTCCCCAATACTTCTACATAACTTCCCACTCTCAGTTCCCCAAACTTCTCCATAACTTCCCACTCTCAGTTCCCCAGTATTTCTCCATAACTTCCCACTCTCAGTTCCCCAGTACTTCTCCATAACTTCCCACTCTCAGTTCCCCAGTACTTCTACATAACTTCCCACTCTCAGTTCCCCAGTACTTCTCCATAACTTCCCACTCTCAGTTCCCCAGTACTTCTGTTCATCACTTCCCACTCTCAGTTCCCCAATATTTCTCCATAACTTCCCACTCTCAGTTCCCCAGTATTTCTCCATAACTTCCCACTCTCAGTTCCCCAGTATTTCTCCATAACTTCCCACTCTCAGTTCCCCAGTACTTCTCCATAACTTCCCACTCTCGGTTCCCCAGTATTTCTCCCTAACTTCCCACTCTCAGTTCCCCAGTATTTCTCCATAACTTCCCACTCTCAGTTCCCCAGTACTTCTCCATAACTTCCCACTCTCAGTTCCCAAGTATTTCTCCATAACTTCCCACTCTCAGTTCCCCAGTACTTCACCATAACTTCCCACTCTCAGTTCCCCAGTACTTATCACTTCCCACTCTCAATTCCCCAGTATTTCTCCATAACTTCCCACTCTCAGTTCCCCAGTACTTATCACTTCCCACTCTCAATTCCCCAGTACTTCTCTATAACTTCCCACTCTAAGTTCCCCAGTACTTATCACTTCGCACTCTCAATTCCCCAGGACTTCTCCGTAACTTCCCACTCTCAGTTCTCCAGTACTTCTCCATAACTTCCCACTCTCAGTTCCCCAGTACATATCACTTCCCACTCTCAGTTCCCCAGTACATATCCCTTTATTATAAACAGTATTTCCTTCCCAATCGTTCTTTGTACTTTCAATAAAAAAGTATTCTCGATAGCTAATCAAAATGGTAATTTGTCCTAATAGTTTTTTTCAATATAAAAACAAGGTAATTTTTTTCCAAACAATTCTCCCTAAATTACACAAGAATAAATGTTTCCATATAGATCTATGTACATTACAGAAACGAATTCCTTCACAAAGTTTTTTCTACTTAAAATAATACATTCTTCCCAAAAGTTCTTATTTAATTACCAAACAAAGGTAAATTCTTCCACAAACCTCTCCCTACCTTACAAATAGTTAATTCTTTAAACAGTTCTTCCAACATTACCTTCTTTCCAATAACTCTTCAACTATCAGACTACTCAAAACGCAAACAACTCCCCCAAAGATTTACATAAGAAGCCTTATCAAATATAACTCATATCATTATCATTTCTAACTCAACCAACATGTTGAACAGGATCGCATAATTCTACCTACAAATCAACATTCCTCTAAGACAATGGATGAAAAAGGCAACTGGGTACAACAGTAGCCACAGCTGATTAAACAAAAACACGCACACAACGACACTGCTCTATGAGGCATAACAAGTACTAAGGCGCGCACACACACATACATACCTACATACATACATACATATACAAACACACAAAACATGTGTACTGAAATAAAACCTTACAAGACAGAGCAATTCTGAACAAACAAAAAACAAATGTTTAAGCACATTCATCTGAAAATAATGTGTATGTGCACGTGCACTTTCCTACACAACTAGGTAGGTTTTATACATTTTTACACGAGCAGTACAGACTGTTTTGTATGTGTTCACGCATACACATATGTGTGTGCAGGGATGTGTCCTCTACACATATTTTCCCTCCTTCTACACAAAAAGGTTATACTTGTATTTCAGGTATTTCACAAAAATAGTATTCATTTGTTATTTACTTTCTTTTAGTACTGTTGTCTGTTTTAAAAATTAGTTAACTCAATTTTAAATTTGTTTTCATTCAAAACAAAAACGACAGTATTCATTTAAATGAGATATTTTCCCTTCTAACAGTTAATCTGTCAATATGATTAAATTTCATTTTCCCGACAAAAGTCACATTCTAGAATCCCATTAATTTTTTTTTTTAAATAACTGGCCTAAGGCTTCTAGGTCAATCTAGCCTTAAAATGAGGACCATAAAATGTCCTGGGAAGGTCAAGAGTGATATTACCACAACACTCATTGGGTGCTGGTTGGTCAATAAATTATATGGGTTTAGCATCATATGCTGGAAACACCAATGGTATGAAAAGTGTTAATTACTTCAACTGTAAGTTTTAATTAAGATCGCTTTTTTCTTTGTTTTTATAATTATTACCTTCGTAGTATACATTCTTTTTTTTTTCCATTTTTTTTTTGGTGTTTCCTTTTGTTTTTTCATTCTTAACTCTTGGAATACATTATTCTGCGTCTTTCAGTGCCATAGTAGGTAAAAAAGTAAAGGACCCTTTTCCCCGCCTTTTGGTGTATAGGGCATATAGGGTTTGACCTATATTTTATACACCAATCGGCACAAGATGGGTGATGTGGTCAGCATCATGCATTACTTCCCGGGATTTCAGTGCCATATGACTCACCAAATGCTTCTCTGACATGCCAAAGATAATATGTTTCTCCTGTCTTCTAGTAAAGATTGGTGTTCCATGAACCTTTTGTGATTGAGTTATTATTCTACTTCTGTCCAACTGTGTCTCTACTGAACAGTTTCAGATAAGTAAACTCCAACGGCTGAGGTAAAAACTGAAAATGTGAGAGCATTATAGATCAAGAAGAAGAAAAACACTGACATTATGGTGCTTCTTCTTCTTCTTCACTTCCTCTTTTACCGCTGTGGGTGTCGAGGGAGATATAAGGTTCTGTTTCTAGCTCTTCTGGCTGCCTCGACCATAGGCACATCGTGCTGTTGTAGAGTTTCTCTGATGTTATCCTCCCATCTTGTTTTTGGTCTACCCCGTGCTCTACGTCCTTCTTCTCTTCCCATGTATGCTTTGTATGGTATACAATATATATATTATGGTGCTACTTTTTGTAAACTGACGTACTTCAGCCATAATAAACTTCTTAATTCCCTGAGTGGGTTCCAGAGCTCTATTTTAGGGTGTAACAAAAAAAAGGGGGTGGGGGGCACACCACTGTGCCCTCTGCCCCCTCCAACCTGTCCTAAAAGTCGACTAATCAGGGCTGTTTCCTTCAAAGTTAGAATGCATCTTCCTATATATAAAAAAAAGCCAGATCTGTAAAAACTCAAGTTCTAGCCAGAAGTGACTGAACAAACTGAACTTTCCACTACAGTTCACAGCTGGTGAATGCTCAGATTTTATCAGAAAGCGCTGCTAGAACTACATCGGCCATGCACTCAGAATGGATCAGACCAGACTCCCCCATCAAGCCCTCATATGGACACCGAAAGGGAAAAGAAAACAGAAAGACAAAAAGAGACCTTGATATCAAAGACAGTCTGGACATAAAAAGTTTACAAGTCGGGAAAGTTGGCATGGGAATGAGTGGGTTTCCGATGAATTGTGATGAGGTCAGTGTTCAGCAAATGACCTGCTACATAAGGATGATGAAACTGTTGTAGTAACTTGAAGCTCATCCTAAAGATACCAGAGGCCACTCCATATGACACAAACACCGACTGCATTAAGGACGATGACAGGAAATTCTTTTTTAACCTCATCAGGAAGAAGAACTAGAGACAGACAGAACTCAAGACATGCGAAAAAGAGAACAGGAGATGTGAAGAGGAGCCAAAGACCAATGTTGGACAGCAGGGGACAGGAGATGTTTTAAGCAGGATTGCATTATGAGGATAACAACAGGAGGTTCTTTTTACCAAACTGAACTCAGTGGGAGCAAAAAAGTAGAAGGAGACCCAAAAACAAGTGAAAAGGGACTGACTGGAGGCAAAGATAAATGCGGAGGACACAAGCTGCAGAGGACTGGAATGGCTTAGGTTGGTTAAAGGTGTTTTTCCACTGAAAGATAAGAAACATAAGAGGAAATAAAAAAGCGAAGAAGAAGAGATAGAAAAGAAAGGAGAAGTAGGTTTTAGATTTCCTGTAGCAACTAAAAAATAATTCAACATTTCACTTAATATTTGAATAACATTTAAAAGTGAGTACAAATTCCCAGTTTCAAGGATGGAATTTCTAATGTTCTTTAAAATTTATACTCTGCTACCACACATTAGAATTTCTAATGTATTTTTAAGATTTAGAAGATGTACACTTGTACATTTCTTGTCTTAAACATGGAAATGCTGAACTTATTTCAAGTTTTAGTCAAGTTTATACCTTTTTCTGTACTTAACATAGGAATACTTTAAACACTTCGAGATTTAGTTGGAGGTTGTTTCAAACAAATAAATCTGTAGGAAATAAAATGCCAGCTTTTTTACTTTTTCTTTTTAAGACTTAGAAGTATATACTTTCTTGTATAAAATATGGTAGTACCTAACACATTTTAAGTTGAAGTTGAAGATTATTTATTTATATCAAATAAGGACGTCGGCTCTGTGGCTAAGTCGATGCAAACGCTTCGTAATGCCGGGATGCCAGGTTCGATCCCAGCTGAGGGCCATGCGCCTTGCGTTGGTTTCGACAGTGGTACCAAGAAAGCCTACCGTCCAGAAAGCAATGGCAAACTACTGGATGTAAATTTGCCTAGAAAAACCACACAACAGCCAGGGGCTGTTGTGGTTGGTTCTGCAACGTCCTGTAAAGGATACGCAACTAACCTATATCAAATAAGGAGCTACTAATGCCTTTCAGATTTCTTTTTTAAATAATGTTTAAAAAAATATTTTATATCAATTGAACCATTTGAGATTTAAGAGACGAATTTATAAAATATATATATAATTTAGATCAACATATACATTTATGTACAAGCCTGCGTTCAAAGTATCTAATACTACAAGGAGTTTCACAAAAATTAAAAATGGAGCAGAGTGCATAACCAGAAATAAGCACACATCATGTGAAATGTAAAAGAAGAAAGAAAAGAAACAAATCACACATACAAGAAAAGGCATGGAAGAAACCAAAAGAATAAGAAGCAGACGCAAACAACAGCAGCCGCTGCCAACAACACAACACTTACATAGGTGTCTGCATGTAGCTTGATGAGGAACTTCTTGCGCTTGAAGCTGAGTTTGCGCACCTTTGCCCAGGAGAAAGTGTTGATTTTGGTATAGTGCTGGAAGACTAAGACACCCAAGTGGGCTACAGCCAGGTTTAAGGATACTCCTTCGTGATCCTGCAGAAACAGAGTGGCAAACAAGTTAGCATGGATTTTACTGTTTTCTATCAAGCTTATCCATTGTATTCTGTTGATATTCCTCCATGACACTGACTTAAGCCATCCACCATCATTTCTCTTAGTCTTACCAGTGATATTTCCTGTTATCACAATATTTTCCAGTGCTCTTTTTCTCACCACAGGACAAAGAACCTTGTTTGTCTCCTTTTCTCATTGTTGTATATAATGTACTAATTTCCTCTGCCATTCCCAGGCAATCATTGTTAAATATTCTGGCAGTCCAAGATATTTGCGACATACTCTCAAGAGCCACATGGATGTGAGATGTTGTTACAAAACATAAGGGGTAAGAGTAACAATTACTGGGCACTAAGTAAGTGGCATTCTCTGGTGGCTGCTGAAAAGTCGAAGAGGGATACCAAAAACTGTGGCCTAATTATGTAACGGCGGTAGGTAGGCAGTTTTTCTCTTTCAAGACTGCATTCTGTAGGAAATGGTCTCTCTCAACAACAACAATAAAATCCATGCATGCACACACAAACATAAACACACACATATATATCTATGTAGCAGGTCCTTTGCAGAACGTCACTCTTATCACGGTCTGCCTCAAAGAAACTCGATCTCTCGCCAGCTCTCCCACCTCGTGTACTATATTCAAGGAGTCATTTATATCCTGTGTGCCCGCCTTGACATGACCAAAATATTTCAGCTGTCTGAGACAAGATGCTGTTTATTAGCCAATCTTCTTTTGATGTTCAGATATTTTAAAATGTCAGTATTTCTTCTCTTCTTTTTACTCCATGGTATTCTGAAAAGCTTTTTATAGCATTTCAGCTTTTTTAACCCTACCAGACCGCTCTCCCGTTTTTCCGGGAATTTCATAACTGTTCTGTAAACCGCTGGTCCTAAATTTCTGCTATTTGCATAGTGCGTGAAAAAGATGCGTCACTGACCAAAAATAACCAACCAATCGTCGTCAGTCCGCTTTGTTAGAGATTGCAAATGGCTTCCCCGTGTGTGTGTGAACCAATTTTGTGTGTTTTAACGGGAAAATTTTTGGAAAATTCAGAATGAAGCGAGCTTCTGATGAACCAAGTTCTAGGCTTTTCACAGTCCAACATGTGATCGATACTTTGGTTTATTCCGACTCTGTGATATATATATATATATATATATATATATATATATATATATATATATATATATATATATATATATATATATATATATATATATATATATATATATATATATATATATATATATATATATATATATATATATATATATATATATATATATATATATATATATATATATATATATATATATATATATTCATTATCTGTGATAATTTCATAAAGAATACGTTCTTGAAATGACACTGGCAGTGAGAGCGCAAATAATGAGGAAAATCTTGAAAATTATCAATCTTGAAATAGATCGATAGTAGGAGGAGGGGGTGTGTCCATCAAATGGCAACATCTGGTGTTCACTTTGTGAAACAAAGTTGATCCTGATGAGTGAATTCGCACACAAAGGTGGAATATTGGCGCTAGATAAAAGGTAAGCCTTTTTTCTACAATGTCTCCAAGTTTCATCATATTCTAGCCACTCGTTTGCATGTAACTAATATTTTTGTATATCAAGTTGGTTTTTTCGCGGTAATGCCCAAGAGTTCAGGTTATAGGGACAGTTAGGTTCAGGGCCTTAGGTCTGGTAGGGTTAAGGACTGGAAGATAGTCTATGACTCACACATCTGTATGTTGCTACAGGGAAAATACATTGTCTCAAAATTTTAATTTCCTTGCTGGTGCTTAACCATAGACTTTTAATTATTTTCTAACTTCTAAGCAGCAACAAATGACACATTAGCTGAAAACTGTAATTTTGTGACATGAAATTTAACACACACAAAACTCAATCTACATTTGTTCTTGTTTCTTTGTTTCAGGTTGGCTGTCAGATGGGTTGCACAAGGATTTGTATTGTTTTACTGGGCCAAGGGTGTAAAAAGGTTGAGAAACACTGCTTTAAAACAATTTACTTATCTTTACAGGGCCTCACCTTTGCAGGTTGCATCTTCACTCCATAGAGCTCCACTTTACGTGCTGTGTCCAACAGGTTCAGGTCGGCCTCTGATGGAGACTCCCCACTGAAAGCATACACACACACAACAATTACATCATTATCTCATAAACATGTATCATTACCAGAGCAATACAGGTCATTATCATAGAATTATATATCATTACCTCAGCAACACAGATACTTTTTATAAGAAATAACTGAATCTGAGAAATGCACGATGTTCTTTCACAAACTCAAGGAAGCGAAAGACTTGGAAGCTGGACTGAAACCTGTCCTAAACCTCACCAAGAGACAACAGTCCGAATGGTTGGTTAGGACATTTGTCAAGACTGCCACAAGAAAGTGCAACACAGACAGCTCTGTCCCTTGGTTAACTCCAATGTGTGTGCAGTTACCTTCATCTTTGTCCCAGGTAGTGCGGGTGTTGCTGGCAATAAGAGAGATGAAAGATTAGCCGGTTCTGCCTTAGCAGCAGATGGCTAGCCTGTGGACTGCGCTAACGCTGTTAATGCCCATAGAGAGATAGGATGATCAGAAGATTTTGGGGCAGTGGGTTTATATCCCTGCTAAGAATCAGAGAACTGTGAGTAAAGACTGGCACAGCCAAGCACAACAGGTGTACAAGAAGTCTCCTTAACCAGCACAGAACTGGCACTATCAACTGTGGGATGCTAATGGATATGCTAGAGGGAGAGTCTGAGCAACTATGGACGTGTCCGGAGAGCTGTGAAGATTACCAAACATATAACTCAAAATAATGGAAGCTAAGGTTGAGGACACCCACATAAGTGATGGGTAGAAGTGTATTGGAACCTCTGAATACCAGTATCTACATTAGGACAAACCAAGGCTCAGCAGCAGATGCCTCTTCAAAACCTGACAGTGAAGGGCAGAAGAGGGTCTAGCATAGTGTTTCCCAACCATTTTTGTGCCATGCACATGTGCGTGTGCGCACGTGGATGTGTGGGCGCGTGCATGATAAGATCAGACAGAAACTGTACATTCACTGCCAATGTGATTAATCGCTGCCAATGTGATAAATCACTGCCAGTGAAATACATCACTGCCAATGTGATAAATCACTGCCTATGTGATAAATCGTTGCTAATGTGATAAATCTCTGCCAATGTGATAAATCACTGCCAATGTGATAAATTGCTGCCAATGTGATAAATCGCTGCCAATGTGATAAATCACTGCCAATGTGATAAATCACAGTAACTGCATAATTAAATTTGTGAAATCTTAGACCCAGACAAGTTGTAAGCAGGTTTTCTTTTTTTTTTTTTTTTTAGCATTACGCAAAAGCACTCAGTACCAGCACCGGCTGTTCTGGGTGTGCCGCCTACCTCCGGACTTAAGTCTTGTTGCAGAACCTGAGTGTAGCATGCACAACCGTTTCACAGATGTGGCTTATTTCTTGGTTCCTTGCCTCTCAGGAAGATGAACCCCGACTTCGAAGGAAGCTCCACTCAGTCGACACCTGCGACGTGCTTACTGGGGAGGCAGTGGGTCTATTCTTGTTCTTCCTACAATGGGGACCCACAACCCACACCTTTCAAAACTCATGCCCTCACACTTTAGCAAATATCTAGAAAGCTCCTACAGATGAACACCATTTTGTAAATGCCACCTTAGATTTGCCCTGTCCTTATAAATTTTTTTTTTATTATACTGTGAAGCTTGCTAATATACTTTACGTTCGGTTTTATATCTTTTCTATAATTAACAACTGCGCAGATACAGCTGTTTTCTTAAAGCCAAAGTTGCTTTGATCTTCGACTAATAGTTTCTGTATACTTGAAAGAATACAATATTCAGTAAGTGACCCACGTGTGTAGATTGGAAATCAGTTCACATATGCAGCCATGTGTAATGATTACTGTGATAGCATATCCCCCACTCAATGAAAAATCAGCAACTCACAGGAGACTTATGTTGGGGGCGGCCACCTGAGAGTAAAACGCCTATCGCACACGTGCAATTGGATGTTTTAAAAAGTTTGGTTAGTTTGGCGTTAGTCTCTCACCAAAAAAGTACGTCACTTTTACGAGTTTGTTGGGCTGGTCGACTTTCCTGATGAAGGTTACGATGGATGTGTCACGCTCTGTTGTTTGGTTCTGCGATGTCTTGCATTTACGTTTGCATTCCGAGGAAGAGAATGCCTGTGACATAGGTTGCATCACTCTCTAGGGGAAGTTGTTTTAGACCCAGTTTCTCCATGTTTTTGGAGTGTTAAAAGCACTGGCATGCTGAAATATACAGAATGCAATACCAACAGCATTGCGGAACACCCCAGTAACCTTGTGCAAAGGTCGTGGTGCTCAGAAGGACCAATCAGAAGTGAGCTGGTGTGTATAGGGGCGGGGCCTAGGGAGACTACCATCAGTTTTACCAGAAGTTCCCTTTACTCAATTTACTCAATTTACTGTAAGCATGCTGACTGTTTGCTTTGAATCGTTTTTTTTTTTTTTTTTTTTTTTCATATACTGCAAAAAAGGCAAAATGAAATCTAAATGTATGCATTAAAAAAAAAAGAAAAAAAAATATTCACAAGGACATTATTATTAACAAGCTGCACGCTAAAGTTTAACAACCTATACAGAACGGTTATTAATTTTTTTTTTTTTTTTAATTCAGCAGGACTTATGGGATGTAATAAAGCTAAAATATTAGCTAACCTCAAGCCAAACCCTACACTTAGTCATCTTTTATGACATTCCTCGTAGGGTGCAGTGTTTCTATTCTTCACTTCCACAAGGGCTCCTCAGTATCACACAGGCCGACCGTGTAATTACTCTGGATTATATTTCAAAGTGAGCCGGGTCTTTATCAGAGTGATGTAGGAGTTTGCAATGTCTTTTACATGCAGAGATAACAACACAGCTGGAGTTCTTTCGAAATCCACAGGGCAAAGGTAATGCGAGGTAATGCAAGTAGATCTGCTCCCCTCACACATAATGAGGAGAAGCAGAGGCATATGAGTAATGTGAAAACATCAAAGAAAGAACTAGAGAATTAAAGGGGCAAACCGCATACAAGAATAGAAGAGCTGGGTGTGAGATGGTTGAGTGAGGATCATTTCCCAGGCCTTGTGGCGTTCTTGATATCTGTTGCTTGTTCCATGTTTTTTTATGGACCAATGGACATACAATGGTTTACATGGTAAACTTCCTGCTTATCATCTTTGCTTCCAGAACATTCTAAGTTAACCATTTTAGGTTAAGTTTTGGGAGGACAGGTTAAGAGTTGGATTATCTTCACAGCACTCCAGACACATCCATAGGTGCTTAGATTCCCCCTTCAACATATTCATCATCGTTGTACTGTTAACAGTGCCAGTCCTATGCTAGTTAACAAGACTTCCTGTGTGACCAGTGGTTGGCTGTGCCGTTTTTTACTCCTAATTCTTTAGCAGTAAAGTCGATAGGATGTTTCTAAAATCCTCAGAATGTCCCATCTCTCTAAGGGGATTGACAATGTCTGCGTGATTCATAGGCCAGTAATTTACAACTAATGCAGAATCTACTAATACATCAGCTCTTTCACTGCCAACAACACCTGCACGCCCTGGGACAAATATGAATGTAACTAACTGCACACACGGAAGATTTTTTAATGACTCAGTCCAGTGTCCGCGTAAGCAGCCCTGACTCGACCCGCCAGATCATGTTTACAGGATCACGCAGCACATACACCCACACGCGGCAATAGTCCTGTGATTATAGCCACGTGAAAGCTTGTGTCACAGCTATCACCTCCATTGTCATACTGCTGGTGGTCATGGAGAAGGCGCCGCTGGCTTCTTGGACTTTCGGCATGCAGAGCGAGCTGTAGTGCCCATGCACGCATGTACTCGTATAATGCACCCGTCACTGATAAGCACACATAACTTAGCGCTGACAGAAGCCGGATTCTGCTCCCGACAACTATAAGCGTGACGACATAGGAGAAAGCGAGATTCAGCGGGACTTCACATGAGAAAATTAGATCCGGCGTGACGACACAGGAAAAAGTGAGATTCAGCGTGACGACACAGGAGCAAGTTAAATTCAGTGTGACGACACAGGAGAAGGTGAGAATGAGCGTGACGATGCAGGAGATGGTGACACTGAGCGTGACTACGCAGGAGAAGGTGACACTGAGCGTGACGACACAGGAATAGGTGAGACTGAGCGTGACTATGCAGAAGGTGAAACTGAGCACGACAATGCAGAAGAAGGTGAGACTGAACGTGACTATGCAGGAGAAGGTGAGACTGAGCACGACAATGCAGAAGAAGGTGAGACTGAGCGTGACTATGCAGGAGAAGGTGAGACTTAGAGTGACGATACACGAGATGGTGAGACTGAGCGTGACTACGCAGGAGAAGGTGTGACTGAGCGTCGCTGCACAGGAGAAGATGAGACTGAGAGTGACTACGCAGAAGAAGGTGAGACTGTGCGTGACGACACACGAGATGGTGAGACAGTGTGACTATGCAGGAGAAGGTGATACTGAGCGTGAAGACACCGGAGAAGGTGAGACTGAGCGTGAAGACACAGGAGAAGGTGAGACTGAGCGTGAAGACACATGCGAAGGTGAGACTGAGCGTGACGACACAGGAGAAGGTGAGACTGAGCGTGACGACACAGGAGAAGGTGAGACAGCGTGACGATGCAGGAGAAGGTGAGACTGAGCACGACAATGCAGGAGAAGGTGAGACTGAGCGTGACGACACAGGAGAAGGTGAGACTGAGAGTGACTTTGCAGGAGAAGGTGAGACAGAGTGACTACGCAGGAGAAGATGATACTGAGAGTGACTACGCAGGAGAAGGTGATACTGAGCGTGACTACGCAGGAGAAGGTGATACTGAGCGTGACTACGCAGGAGAAGGTGAGACTGAGAGTGACGACACACGAGATGGTGAGACAGTGTGACTACGCAGGAGAAGGTTATACTGAGCGTGAAGACGCAGGAGAAGGTGAGACTGAGCGTGACAACGCAGGAGAAAGTGAGACTGAGCGTGACGACGCAGAAGAAGGTGAGACTGAGTGTCACGACGCAGGAGAGGATGAGATTGA